CCAGAGCCGGCATCCGACCCGCAGCTCCAGGCGCTGCGGATAGCTGGCGATGAGTTTGATCGTGCGCTGCAGGGCACCAGGAACATCATGGTGCTGTTCCATACGCCGTCATGTGTTTACTGCAATAAAATGGCGCCCGAGTACGGCAAACTGGCGGCCGGCTTTGAGGGCAGTCATGACGTCAGGATAGCGACAGTCGACTCGAGCCGCGATCGCGATCTGTCGCACAAGTTCGACGTCCACGCCTACCCGACCATTCTCCTGCTTGCAGACAATGGCAAGCGCACAATCAAGTACGACCGGTTGCGCACGGCGAAGGACATGGCGTCGTTCATCAAGGACAAGACTGGCGTGGCTAGCCCCAAGCCTGTATGATGTGTCTCTCTGAGCATCAGTGAACTCGGCAGTATCCGCAACCCAGGCTGTGATGCGGTGATCCGGGAAGGCACTGGGAGATCACGGTGACGTGTCAACAATTGATTCCACAATTTGGCAAACGTTCTTTGCTTGGCCCGATGTGCGACAGCGCGCCCATTTTGCTGGTGCAGCTGCAGCTCGGCCCTTTCGCCTTTCTCTTCTCGAGTTTTTCTTTTGTTTTTTACTTGCAAACACAGAGAAGAAATCGCCCTTTATAAGTAATGTTGTTCAATATCAAGGTTGCAGCCGTCGCGGCTGTTGCTGCGCTGGCCACCGTCGCGCTGGGTGCGGGCAGCGGCCCTGTTGTGGATTTGACGCCCAAGAACTTCAAGCAGGTGGTTGATGGCAGCAAGGATGTGCTTGTCAAGTTCTACGCCCCGTGGTGCGGCCACTGCAAGAACATGGCTGAGGACTACGAGAAGCTGGCCGAAGGCTACAGCCATGCCAGCGACATTGTGATCGCCGAGGTCAACGCCGACGAGCACCGGGACCTGGGCAACCAGTTTGCTGTTCAGGGATTCCCGACGCTAAAGTTCTTCCCCAAGGGTGAGGACATCAAGACCCCTGTCGATTACTCGAGCGGCCGCGACCTGGACTCGCTGGTGGACTTTGTTCGCGAAAAGACGGGTGTTGCTGGACGCATCAAGAAGCCTGTGTCGCTGGTCGAGGAGCTGGACTTTGACAAGTTCAAGCAGATCGCCCTGGATGAGGACAAGTTTGTTTTGGTCGAGTTCTACGCCCCGTGGTGTGGCCACTGCAAGCGCCTGGCGCCCATCTATGCCCAGCTGTCCGAGGTGTTCCAGAACGACGACAACGTGGTGATTGCCAACTATGATGCCAGTGAGGACACCAAGATCCGCGACGAGGTCACGATCCAGGGCTTCCCGACTCTGATCGCCTTCCCGGCTGGCAAGGACGCCAAGCGCATCGAGTTCGAGGGCGACCGCTCGCTCGAGTCCCTGGTTGCCTTTGTTAACAAGCACGCCGGCACCCAGCGCACTGCTACAGGCACTCTGGACCAGACTGCTGGCCGCCTGGCTGCCCTTGATGCCCTGGCACGCGACTTCATTGATGCTACCACCGCCCAGCGCAAGAAGATCATCTCCAACGCCAAGGTGGTCGCCAGCGAGGTGCACGACAAGGCCCAGGCCAAGTTTGCCAAGTACTACGTCAAGGTCATGGAGAAGGTCAGCAAGGCATCTGACTTTGCCGCCAAGGAGTCTGAGCGTCTGGCTAACATTGTCAAGAGCGGCGCGGTCAACGCCGGCAAGCTCGACAGCTTTGCCATCCGCCAGAACGTGCTGGATGTGTTCTTGGGCAAGGCCAAGGATCTCAAGAACCAGGATGAGGCTGCCGAGGCCGAGGCCGAGGCTGAGCATGTCAAGGACGAGCTCTAAGCAACATTTTTCTCGTATAAAAATCCAATTGTCAGCAACATTTTCTGTCCCCCTAAGCAATTGCCAATGGGCTACTGGTGCCAAGTATGAATTTGTCGAAATGCGGCGAATGGCGGGAGATTTGGCACTACTCGCTGACTAGTACTGGTTTCTTTTGTGTACAATGGCCAACGAGGCGACGCAGACACCAAACCCGATGTGGACACCCGACGCAGACTTGTCGCTGTTCATATCGATGATCGGGCTAAGACCTGTCGGGATTCACAGACACTTTCGCATGGTCAACATATACACGCGGCTAATGGGACGGCTCAGCAACAGGGATGTAAAGCCAGCAGATGTATGGAGGCGACTCGAGACACTGTATGATATGGAGCTGCTAGAGGAGATGGAAGATGAGAACGAGGACGACGAGGACGACGAGGCCGAAGATGATGCGGAGGCAGAAGAGGAGGATGCGGCACAGGATGATCAGGCCGAAGCTGGTTTGAGGCCAAGCAAAAGGCGGAGGACCACCAAGGATGAATCTGAGGAGCCAGACGATGAAGAAGACGATGAAGAAGAGGATGAAGACGAGGATGGTGAGGGCGAAGGCGATGGTGAGGGCGATGGCGAAGATAGCGCTGGAGAAGATCAGCACAGCTCAGAAACAAATATTCCACCATCCAGTATCGGCACCGTACTGGACGCATCGGACCCGCTGTTCTGGCGCAAGGCCAATGCAGAATTCGCACTGCCATGGACGGAGTTTGGCACGATGATGGTAGAGGCGCGCGGGGCGGGTGTCGATGATACGGACGACATGGCATCTGCTGCAGATCCCTCATCTTCGAAAAACGCAAGCCCAGAGCCTGAATCCGACGACAATAACAACGACGATGACGATGACGATGATGATAACAATGAGGACGAGGACGAGGACGATGAGGACGACAAAGAAGACAAGTCCTATGTCTCGACGCGGCGTCGTGGGCGCTCATCGACACCGGTGCCGCGCACCCGTTCAAAGCCGCTGGCCAGCACACGTAGCAAGCGGTCAAGCAGAGGAAAAATAGCGTTTTCTCGTGTTAACAAAAAAAGAAAACGGCGGTTTACTTCTTAGCGTCAGTCGCTGAAGATTCGTTGTCCTGGGGCTTGGTGTTGTCGGCTGACGTGGCTATTGTGGCCGCAGCTGTGTCGTCATCTTTGCCACTGGAGATGCGCAGGTTGTTCATGATGTACTTTGTGACCATCTCGCGCAGCGCGTCCTCATCGGCCTCGTCGGCATCATCGGCCTGCTGCATGATCCAGTTGGAGATATCCTGCAGTTTTTCCTCCGACACGTTGACCTGGTGCTGCTCCTCGGCCTCGTCGACTTGGTCGATCTCTGGCACCGGGATCTTGAGGCGCTCGCACAGCAGCTCAGTGACCTCAATGGCTTCGTTCTCAAGGGTTTGTATGGACAGGCGTCAGGCCCTCACTATTCTTGCACTCAGGATCGGCACCGTGCTCCAGCAGCAGCTCAGCACACGCCTTGTCCTCACAGATATGCAGCGGTGTGTCGCCGTCGGCATCAGCCGATGTTGACGTTACCCGCCATTCTCCAGCAGGTACTTCAGCAGCTCCAGGCGCTTCCACGAGGCGGCAGCGTGGAGGGGGCTGTATCCGTTGGGGTCCTGGGCGTTGACCTGCGACTTGTCCGCCTCGACGAGCTGCTTGACGCGCTCAATGTTGTCGTCGCTGACGGCGATCCAGATGTTCGACTCCTTTGGCCATTGTGCTGGGCGATAGAACGGCTAAATATCGTGTTTCGGTGAAAAGAAGGGGGAGAGACGAAAGAGCAGTGACAGCTAGAATTTCCTCTGGCGGGCCGGGCTATCCCACTCGCCCCCCCCATCGACCCAGCCTGGCCCGCATCAATCCAGTTATGGCTGGCTCTTTGGGACCACCACCAGGAAAGCCGTGCTTTTTGCCACTGCCCTTTAAAAACACTGCTATCCCCGAGTCGAGTCCTGCTCTTCGGTTCTGTGGTGCCTGCTGCGGCTCCACGAGTGTTGGGTGAAGGACGTTTTATTTTTATACAAGGTTTGGTGGTGAAGGCGTTACCTGAGGTGCCATACGGCTGACCGCTACTCCGGGCGGCAGCACGTAAATAAGCAGATTTGCGGCAGCGGGCGGAGGAGCGGCCAGGACAGAACTGATCTTCGCAATACCGAGCGACTGCTTGAGGCGCATCAACAGCACGAAAAGCAGGCTTGTGAAACGTCGATCGAACGAGTCATTCGAAAAGCTGACAGGGACAAAAGGTGGTGTATAGAAATCCAAGGGCGCTTATTTTCCGAGGCGGTTTCTTTATCTCTACTGCCCTCCAGCTACCAGACTATTTATACGGTTTACCATAGACTATTACAGGCTTGTAACAATGAGCAGTTCTGGCTTCGGCTCCGATTGCGGAATAGCAGCGCGTGCAATCCTGATGCAAACCGGGCTCCCATGCGCACATTCCTTCGGGCGAGGTAAGCAACCCCCTCTCAGAGCCACGCCCTGGGGTTAAGAAATAGTGAATCGAGGAACAGGAAGCTGGCTTGAAATTTGTGGCTGCAACCTCAGGCACGCTTGTTCAGCTTGCAGTTCACCAAGTGCAAGGAGCGGGGCTTGTGAATCGAGTGCACTCAGAACACGTCGCCTCCTGCTCGCGCCCTTAAGCGCCCAGTCTGCGTGAACTGCCACCCTTGCCCCAGTCGCATAACGTGGTTGACTGAGGGAAAATCAGCAACACGAGCTCAGGCAAAAATCTTTTGTGGCGACGCAAGAGATCCGCGAGCCTGTGCCTTGTGCGGGAACACCGGTCCCCGCTCACAATTGATATTATAAATAGCTGCCTCTCTGAAGAGCTCACAGTGACACGTTCTTGGCCAGTGAACCAGTCAATGCTTGCAACATACCCGCCGCTGAGCTGCAGAGTGCTGTTGCCCACGTCTGCTTTCCTTGGCTGGTGGGGATAGAGATACGCATGATGTGAGAACGCGGGATTCGCTGCAGCACCCGCTCCCTACATAGATTTCTCCGACAGCTGGCTACACTGGCAAATGTTCCATTGCAATGCCTGAAGGAAATAGCGTTGCCAGCAAATGAGGGAGTGTAGTGGTGCGAAAAAAAGATATGGCATTATTGCACCTTGGGATCTTGGGCTGAGGGCCTCCCTTCCCCCCCCCCCTCACACTTGAAAGAGTAAAGTTGCAGTTTGTGTGGAAAACAAGGGGGGAGACGTCCATATATATAGGTCAGCATTTCGCGCACGAATGCCTGCTCAAACAACTAAACCCGGAAACGCCTTATTCCTCCACCCACCTCGCTCATTTGTTCATTGCCATTTACTCCGTTCTGCAAAAATTAGAGATAACCTCTCCGACTGCAATAGTTCGACTAGGAATATCTGTTGTACCTGTACAGTCTCTCTACACACAATTCCTAATCCATCTCTATAGGGACTGACCAATCTGGCCAATGTTCAACGCTGCCAAGAGAATACGCGCAGTCGCAGGACCGGGCGGCAGAGAAGCAAAGGTTGCTATTGTCGATGAATGCCGGCGAGCACACGTAACGTGCAGCACTGCTTGCAGATGCGCGACAAGGTCAAGAGCGCCCTGGGCGATCGGGACCAGACAAGGGCGCCAGCATTGCGATGCTGGTTCGCCACGGCTAACCAGTATGCCGCCGTGCAAGTGGGAATCCTGGCGCCTGCTGGCGGTGCAGTTGTGCCTCTGATCCCATTTGCACCCAGACCGGCGAGCTCGAGTACTTCATCACAACTCGGAGGCCAAGACACGCCGGTTTTAAAATGAACCACCCGCGGCCGCTGCTGACCTAACGTGCAAAGCGCCGTGCTCGACCGCTGCAGGGGCCAGATTCGGCCTTGTCAGCAGCGATGTCATCCATGACCTGCCCAACCTGCCAGAGCGACCGACCTCGCTGTCGATGATGAAGGCAGGGAGCGCTGTTCATCTAACTACACCAACTGGCAGCCACCGGGAAGCCCAAGGTGTGGTTCTGACACACGACCAACATTGCGGCCCCAGATTACTGACCTCGAGGAGGGCCTTGGGGATGGACGCACCGAGGACCGTCTGCTGCAAGCGTCCGCCCTGCTGCAACCACCTGCACGGCATTATTGTCGCGGCTGTGCACTGCGGCTGTGGTCGGGGAGCCACACCGAGATGCTGCCCAAGTTCGACAAGGAACGCGTCTGGAACCGATCATCGACGGGCCGGCAGGACGTCTCAATCATCAAAAATGGGTGTGCCACCATGTAACGACCCCGCCATTTGTGCAGGCTGCCGAAGGAGAATGCCGGCCGAGCGCCAGCGCCCAGGCTATACACGGGCCATGAACAGCCTGCGCTGACTGCTCTGCTCGGCGGCCCGGCCGACATCGGTGTTCCGCGCTGGCAAAAAGGCCACGGGCCAGAATTATGCTGGAGGCGGCGCTAAACGGAATGTCTGAAATCGCATGGCTGCTTGAGCAACGACGGCCTGAACCCCGCAGAACCGCAAGGCCGGGTCGGTGCAAGCCGCTGCCCAAGGTGCTAGTGCGCCTGATAGAATCCGAGGTCAAGGACGTGACGAGACGCCAGGCGCATCAGGCACCATCCAAATCAAAAGGGCCCAATGTGTTCCACGCCTACTACGGCCTCATCCGAGAAAACCGCCAAGGAATTACACGTCCGACGGCTGGTTCATCAACCGGCGATGTGGCACCGCGACTCGGGACGGTCCTCTACTACATCATGGCGCAATGACGTTCGACATCATCAAAAGTAGGGCGGCTTCAAACTGTCGGCTCTCGAGAAATTGAGCGAGAGCTTGCTTGAAGCACCGAACATTTGTCGATGTCCGCGGTCGTGGCGGTGCCCAGCGGAGGACTGGGCGAGGTCGGGCGCACTGCCGTGCACCGCTCAAGCCCGATAACGACGCTGACCAATCGAGGAGCGTCAGGCCTCTGGTGTATGAGCGCATCTCGCGCTACAAGACCCCGAAGTGCTGCGGTATCGTCGACGAGCTGCCCCGGAATCTGCAATGGGCAAGCTCGACAAGAAGGCCTCAATGGCTATGTTTTTGCGTGAGGAGGGCGGACTGCTCGGACACACTAGATTGTAATGACGGCGTGCGTCTATTGGGGGATCGATCTCTTCCACATATTCCCACATATTGTTTTAGTCTACCTTTTCCTCTTCTTCTTTTCCTTTACACAGTGCAAATATAGGCTGTGGCCCAAGCACTCATCTGCCCTCCTGGGCTGCGCTAATCTATGTCCTGGAGATGGTGCGGATAGTGGCAAGCTATTGTCAAACTGCCGAATTGCCATGCAGCTGGTCGCGGCGATGCTGCTGGGCTTACTAACGGTGGCAGAAAGTCGAGCTCGGTCTTAACATGAGAATGAAATGCGGAAGTTAATGTGTGGCATATTATGTCCCAGATGCCCACTGTTCGGCCTACAGATTCGTCTTGCTAATACAAAAAGTAGAAAACATACTTCCTAGTGACATGCTAGGACGCCGCCCGATGACATGCATCCAGGCTTACTCGCAAATTGACCACGGAAAAAACTGGCAGCGAAATTGCGACGAGAAGCGCCGATCTGCTATGCTGGCAGGTCGCGGCTGCGCTGGCTATCGGCCCCCAGCCCCCCACTCTGCCTCTGCCCAGGCGCTTTCAATACAAAGCACGCTTTGGTTTATTTTAGCTTTAAGTCGCCGCGCACATCATGCAAGAACACGATATGTTGGACCTCCATTAGCTGTATAAATCTAACTGGAAATCATCGCTTCTCCGCTCCAATCTTGGGCGGCTGCACGGTCGCATCGCGCAGTCGTAGGGCGGAGCCCGCATTTCTGCGACTCTCTCCGGCACTAGCGTAGCCGACACTGCAGCCGAGCTGCCGCGCCGGCGTCAGCCCAGGGCGGTCCCAAATCGAGCCAATTCAGAAATCCCCGTTCCCATTGGCACCAATCCTTGCTTGGGCTCGGCCAGCAAGGGAGGGGTCGTCGCCCAGATCGCAATGCGTCGATCGCGCGCTGCAGCGCCCCATTCTCACCCAACACTGCTTCGCTCCGCAGTACGCCCTCGCCAGGTCCGTGGCCCAGGTCCAGCATCCCCTTCCGCTTCTGCCGCAATAAGCCCGGGGGCGAACACTCGCGCAGACTCACATTGTTTGACTGCCAACGCCAGCCAGCGTCATGCGGATCGCGGCAGAATCCTCCCACGTAAGTGCAGCACGATAGACTCCGCAATCGCACTATGGTTGGTCTGCAGTGGCACCATTGCCAATACGCTGCAAGTCACCCGAAGACGCCTCCCGGTTGCTGGCTGCGGCTGCTGCGTCGCTGCTGTCTGCTGCAGCGGGGGGACTTGCGAGACTCAATCTCGCGAGTATGTACTCGCGCTAGCGCAAGCTGAAGAAGTCGTCTGGTGCTGCTGGCCAGCGAATCAGGATCAGGATGTACGGGTGCTTTGCTGGGATCCTTGTAACTTTGCCGGCAGTTATCTTAAACTCGCTGTTCTTGAAGCCGAATCACAACAGGATCAGGCGCGGCGCCCATCACGCTAGGTAGCAAAGACGGATCGGCGACGGCCTCACCATTCTCCTCACGGCTGCGCTGATAAATGGTCCTGGAACCCAGGGTGGGCGTGACGACAGGTCAACAAAGACTGCAATTTCTCCTCTCAACCCAGTGTCGAGTGCCCACGCGTAGCACTCATCTGCACGATCGGCGATGCGTCTCGGGAATTAGGCATTGTTGTAGGGCCCCCTGCTCGTTGCTGGTGCGCTGCCTGGCGCTGCTATCTGCGTGCTGGCACACCGAGTTTTCAATGTTTCTCTGAAACTGGCCGCGACAGTAGCGTCTGCTATGCAGCACATGCCGCCGTCCAGTACGCGCATCTCCGTTCGAGGTCCATAGCTAGCAGCCCTGTCTCGCTGGCGCTGCGGCGAGTGTTTCTGGCGCTGGGAAGAGCTGGTTGATCTCGTACTCCTCCAGGGTCTTCCGCGACTTTAGCCTGCCTTGGGTGACTCTGCAGCCTCTGTGCAGGTTGGCTTTCGGATCACCCTGATTGGCGTCCCATTTAATTCGCTGGCATCGACTTTCACGACTGCCCTGCGCAATGTCGCTGCTCCTCTTGTCATCAGTGGCCAGCAGCAGGCCCCGGTTGGTGAAGTGATGGCCAAGTACACGAATGCAGGTTTCTCGTTGATTGCAACGAAAATGTACTTCTTTGCAGCAGGTCCACACTGCAAATCCACCGCTTCAGCCTTGCCCAATGCATAGGCCGCTACGGGTTATTCTCTCTGACCACAGACCCGCGCGGCCTGCGCGGCTTGCGCTGGGACGACAGCTTTTGAAAAAGAATGTGTTGAAAAAGAAGCAGCATCGCTGTGCAAGCACTGGGTTGTTCCTGCGTATCGTCCTCTGGAGATATAGCGCAATGTAAAACTCCATGACGTGTCGTTGAGGAAGCCGCCCCTGTACAGGCGCGAGATGTCCTGCCCATCACCGAACGTGCCTTGCGCTCGCCCAGCGGGGTACTCAAAACTTAAGCGTGTAGTCAAGTAGTGGAAAAATTCGCGCTTGTGCCCACAATTCGTCGTCTACCAGATGAGTCCGAGCCGACCTCTGCCAGGCAACCTGGCGTCCGTTTGACGCGGCCGCCTGTGCTGAGACGTGGGTGACGAAGGGGCCGCCGAGAACTGGTCTGGCTTGGCAGCCAGGGTGGTTGCTTGCTGTCCGCAGCCTGGTAGCTCCTTTTCAACGCCCCATTCGTACCATCGCTGTCATCAGCCGCTGTCGTCATCACCGCAGCAGCTGTCGCTTGCGGGTGCTTGCTGGCCGGAGCCAGTAATGGTGGCCTGATGTGAAGGGTCCTAGCGGTGGCCGCTGCACTGTCCAGACGCTGGACAAGCCGAAGCTAGGTCCTGGTTTCTGAAGCTTGCTACAGCGAGATCTTTTCGCCCCTGCTCATCCTCTGACGAAACGAAAATCAAGTCAAGTGCTGTAGGCCTGGTCAGCTCTCGCCACGTGCAATATATGACACTTCAAATCGTGTGGTGGCCAATCGCTGCTGCGCATCAAACACCCTTGGCAATCCGTCAATCACTGCCGGCAATGCGGCCTTGGACTGGGATCTGCCCAGCACATGAATATCATGCTGATGGCCATGTCGCTGCTGCTGCGGATCAAACCAAGCCAGCTCCTCAAACACTCGACTCCATCGTCGATTATTGGCTGACCCGCATAAATACAAAACGCATTCGTTTCAAAGTAATCCAGCGCGTCATGTCGTTGGCGTCAAAACTTCATCGTGACGCTGCGTCCTGCAGACGCGGTGATTTCAAAACGAGCGCCGCAAATAAAGTTGACTGTCAGCGCAGGCGTAGAGTTGAGCAACTGCACTGCCGACATGAGTCGGTCTGCTTGAACGTGGGTTTCCGATCTTTCAACCCCGACGCAGCGTCAGAATGCTTTGCTGGATGTTCCTGCCGAGGAACTAATCAACACAGTTCTGCAGTCTGTCGACGCTTTGCCCTCCGGGCTGAACCTAACTGGAGAAGCCTGTGGTGCTGATGTGGGGCGATGTGGGCGATGTAGGTTACGTGGGCGAGAGATGGCGACTCCAAGAATAATTGACGCGTGTCCATTGACTTTCGCGCCCTGGTCAAGCACAAGGCCCCGGCGCTAGGATGGCGAGGTCGTCGACTGATACTCTGTGTATATTTCTGGCAGCTTCGTCGTGATCTGAGTCCGAAGTAGAATACGCCGCTCGCCGCAGCGCCAGTAGCGCGATGTGTGATGAGCTTAATTCACCGCTGTTTGATTAGGCGGGCGTGGCGAGCAGCCGCGCCTCGGTGGTGTGGAGGAATTGCTTATGCTGCTGCTGCTGTGGCTATCGTGCTTGCTGCTTAGGTTGCAAGCCGGCCGCAATTGACACTTTGGCGGTTTCAATGAGCCTTATCGACGCAGTATCCATACAGTCTCCGCGACTGTTGCCCTGGGCACAGACGACAAGGCGGCGACGAGTTTACTGCATCCTCTTGCAGGCGAATTGGATGGACTCTCGCAGGCTGCCACGCGGCATTTGTGCCAGAGCCTGGATTGCTTGCTAGAAGACGCTTGTAACTTGCAGCAGTAGATCCTAAGTCCATACTGCGTTCTCTCAAGCTACTTCGGCGTGACCGACTCATTTGCCTTGTTGAGTACCTCTAGGCCAGACGGTGATCCTCTGCCCACAGATGCTGCCCCGGTCAGATCCCGGCACTTGTTGGACTAGGCACTCATCGACCTCAATCAGCTCTTCGCCTCGGCCCGTGGCCCCATCTTCCGGGTCGCATCTGAATCGTCAACATGCATCACGCGAACCGTCCTGGCTGCGCTGGGTTTGTCTGTGGCAGCCCATGACCTCTGAAGAATTTAACCGGGGGATATTGCTCTGGGCGGGGCCATGCTTTCAAACTGGACTGACTCGTGACTGACAACCCCCTTTTTCTGCCACTGCCTCGCTGCTGGGTCTGAGATTCAACTGCCAGCGTCCCTGCGCCTATCTCTTTGACTCTGTTTGTGTCGCTGCGCCCAGTGCCCCCGCTGGCCGTCTGTCCGATGTCTTCTGCTGTACGGGGGCCTCTGCTGCTGCGCGTCTGCGGCAGAATGCTTCCTTCCATTAATATTCTTGAACTGGCAAGGCGCTGCTGCGCTTCTATGATAAAGAAAAAGGGACGCGTTAGAATGCAGAGCGCTTTTCAGCTGCTTTTTTCTCTCGAAATGACTCAGCAGCAATGCCAGTAACCTACCTCTGGTAATTTGCAGAAGTAGTGGGGATAATCAGAATGACCGTGTTTCCGTTGAATGAAGTGGTTTTTCAGCTAAAGTGGCAGTTCGCATTTGGCTGTGTTAGCGTTTATGTTCACTGGCATGGGCCCGCCAGCCACGCTCGTGGTAAATAAGCAGCGGCGCTACGAACACTGGTCTTGTCCGCTCATAAGTTTGCTGTAAAAGGCGGCTCGCCCGCTCGTTTGCTTTTGGCGTGGAAAGGTGCAATGGCCGATTCGCAGAAAGAGTTGAATGAATAGAAAGAGTAGTGGTACACGGGAAAATATGCAAAAAGCAGACAAGCCTGAATGAGTGGCAACAGAAATGGCTCCTTGTTGGAGAAATAAGCAAGATTATACGGTGGCGCACGGTGACTCGATGAAAGACGCTGCGCTAGCCAATATTTGCTATATGGGTGTTATTGGAATAGGCCGCCCGCCTGTGCAGGCCTGAACAAGGCTGTTGCCCCGTCGTATATGCACCCACGCATGCCCGGCTCAATCACAAGACACTTTTGGCTGTTTTTGAAGGTTTCTCATTTGCTTTGCTAGAAACAAAAGCTTGAATTTTACACTTCAAAAATGCAAAAAAAGAAAAAGGAAAGGATAACGATAAAAGGAAATAGAAAAACAGAGGTAAGAGGTTGGTGAGGATAAGTAGTGGGATAATGAGATCAGACGTGCCCGGAGGCGCGGCTCCACCTTAGTCTATTGCGAGGAAGCTAACGGCGCCTTGGATGCGTCGTTGATCCTTGGGTTTCCTTCTCGCAGGTCCCTTGCGTCGCGCGAACATAAAGTCCAATAACCTCCCCCCGCAGGCGTGCTGATCTGGAATCCGTGGGTGTCGGCAGAAGATGTGTTCGCACGCGAGCCACTTGTTGTCGTCTGCTTCACGCAGCGCACTCGCGAGCGGCAAGCTTGAAGGCAGCCGGCCCGTTGTTGGCACTGTGCCCGCTTCGTCGGCGTTGAGGAGCCCGAGAGGCCGACGGAGAGCCGCGACCAGCGGCAGGGCATGCCGAACCAGGCGCCGAGCTCGACAACGAGGGAGGATGTGTCGGGTTGGTGTGAATCAGGATTCAACCAGTGGGTTGTGATTGCAGTGGCCGGCTCCGAGACGTGCTTGCCGACTGCGCAACTGCTGCAGTAGTCGCTGATAGTGGTGGTGGTATGGAGTGGCAGTGGTGGTAGTGGGTGGTGGTAGAGCAGCGGCGCAGCGGCGGCAGCAGGCAATCGCGTTTGTTCATTGCAAGCCATCCACGGCAAGGTGACTGAAATGGTAGTGCGGCCGGTTGGTGTCTGACTGGCGGCAGCGGAACGCATATGTGAGGCAGAACATTGACAGAGGGCGTTTGGGGGAGCTGTCAGTAAGGAAGAGTGCCGGGTTAGAGCATCTGCGTGATAGTGTTGATTTGGCTGTGTTCGACATGGCAGCATATAATGGCTCATCTGCGCGGCATACGGGAGAAAGCCCAGAGTCGAAATTAAGCAATAGGGGGACGTGCATGAAACGTATGTACACACATCTCTAGTCCAAGAAAACACCCAGAGTCCAGACGTGCGCTGGCCCTTTCCCCTCACAAAAGGGATGTAAAAAAAAGTGATCCGCTTCGTGGGCCCCCTCCCTCACACCAGCAGGCGAACAGCAGGCAGTATTGCCTGTGCCCGTGTTGCCAGACTAGAAGACAGGTGAGAAAATGGAGCCAGAGTAGGCAAAGGGGGAACAGAGGGAGAAAAATGGCAACACTATAATGCCGGCACGTGAGAAACGTGCTGACACCAGCCGTCGCACGCTTTTTTCTAAGCGCAATTGCCTGTGGCCCGCCTAGACACGACAAAAAGCAAAGAACGCTGGGTGGAAAGTAAAACGTAACTGCGCCAACATTGCTGGTTCTGCTTTTGGCTGGCTTTCCTGCTCCTTGAAGCATTTCGAGAGCACTATTGTTGTAGAGTGGGGTTAGCCATAGAAGCCGCAGTTGTTGACGCAGAACTTCGGCTGCTTGTGAAATCGGGGTTCTTCTCGCATTGCTTGTAAAGAAAGGAGGTGCTGTCGATGCGCGTTGCTGCTGCTTACGAAAAAGAGAAATGAGGGCTGCAAAAATGCAAGAATAAAGGGGAGAAAAGAGAAAGAAAAAGAGCCTGAGGTTAAGGGCAATAGCTTCAAACTCCAAAAAGAAGAAAAAGCACTAGATTTGGTGTCCCAAAGCAAAAGAAGTGAGGGAAGCGAAAAAGAAGAAATATTAATTATGAGCGTGTGTGCGAAAAAGCAAGAGAGTACACGCAATCGGGGCCGGCGAGGCGGCCTTTATACCGGCAAAGGTCAAAAATAAACGCCCACACGCCCATTGGCCAGCCCCCCGCCGAAGCGATCAAAGTTTGGCCAATTTATAATTTGTGGGCTTGGCCTCTGCTGCGGGCGGCACTTTTGTATTTCCGTTGAAGGCGATATCGCTCGATGTGACAAACAGCCTGCTCTCTAGAGGATTAGTAATTACCGTATTTGTTGGTCTTGGCCGCGCCTTCTCTCCCGATAGCGGCACGACGTTTGTGTTGCATTGGGAGCGTGTGTACCGCCCGAAACCTGTAAACAATGGTAGTTGTGGTTGTGGTGGTTGTGGTGGTTGTGGTGATGATGGTAGGGGTAGCAGTGGAGCTGGCTGCAGGAAATTAAAGCAAAGCGGTCACAAGAACAGCTGGCACATAGGGCCCACATCAGTCCGTTGATCAGCCAGCCAGCCAGCCATAGCCGCAGCCTCAGTAGCAGCCAGCTTCGAGTGTGTTCGATCGCGTTCTGCCTCTGAATACTGCTTGGCTCATCGTTCGCTAGATGATGCACCAGTGCCGCAGGGGTTCCGTCCTGTCCAGCGAATCGAATAGCAGTTACCCGGTGCCAAATATAGAAGGTGGGCCCACACAGCAGGCACAGGAAAATCAAAATTGTCACCGCTGAACACGCGGGCGACAAACAGCGCAAAAAGAGCCCCTGCTTTCAGCAACACGCAAAATGTGCGGTCGATCGGGCTGGCGACTCTGCGCCTATGGTCCAGAATACTGCCTACTGATCGGCGTATATTGCTGCTGGCCATGCTACGGCCCGCATTATCGTATAAACGGAAGAAATGAAATGAATAGAGAAAATCGAGCGAAACTAATGCGTTTCTACGACTTAGACCTTGGAGTTATCGACAGGCAGGGGCTCGATGTTCCAGACCTCCTCGGCGTACTCCTGGATGGAGCGGTCAGACGAGAACTTGGACATGCGGGCAACGTTGAGGATGGACTTGGTGATCCACTCGTCGTGGTCGCGGTAGGCCTCCTCGACGGCCTGGTGGGCCTGGATGTACGAGGGGAAGTCGACAGACAGCAGGTACACGTCACCGCCGCGCAGGATCGAGTCGATGAGCGGCTGGAAGATGTGGGCCTCGCCGAAAGTGCCGGCCTGGATGAGGTCGAACGCAGCCTGCAGCGCCTCGTCCGGCTTGGGCTGGTGGAAGCGCAGGTAGTGGCGGAAGTCCTCGACCTCGTGGGCAAGGCAGCCAAAGAAGAAGATGTTCTCCTCGCCAACCTCCTCGCCAATCTCGATGTTGGCGCCGTCGACAGTGCCAAGGATGATGCCGCCGTTGAGGCAGAACTTCATGTTCGAGGTACCCGACGCCTCGGTGCCAGCAGTCGAGATGTGCTGCGAGATGTCGCTGGCCGGGATGATGGACTCGGCGGCGGTGACGCTGTAGTCGGGGATGAAGACGACCTTGAGGACATCGCCAATCTCCTCGTCGTTGTTGATGACCTCGGCCACCGAGTTGATCAGCTTGATGACCTGCTTGGCAACCCAGTAGCCCGACGCAGCCTTACCGGCGAAGATGACGACGCGGTGGAGCTGCTTGGCGCGCTCCTCGGCAGACATCTTCTTGAGCTGGCCGTAGCGGTGGATGACGCTGAGGATGTTCATGAACTGGCGCTTGTACTCGTGGATGCGCTTGACCTGGATATCGAACAGGGCGTTCGGGTTGACCTTGATGCCGGTAGTGCTGAGAATGTACTCGGCCAGGTGGGCCTTGGCCTGCTGCTTGGCGGCCCACCAGCGCTCGCGGAAGTCGGCATCGTCGACCTTGGCCTCAATGGCCTTGATCTTGGTCAGCTCATTGATCCACGAGCTGTCGCCGACGACCTCGGTGATCAGCGCGCTCATGGCCGGGTTGCACTCGTTCATCCAGCGACGCGGCGGACACGCCGTTGGTCTTGTTGATGAACTTGTCCTCGCCCCTGCACCTTGACAAAGTCAGAGAAGATGGTCTGCTTGATGATGTCCGAGTGGATGGCAGCGACACCGTTGACCTTGTGCGAGCCGACGCACGCCAGGTACGCCATGCGCACCTGCTGCGGGTTCGACTCCTCGATGACGGAGATGCGGCGCAGCAGGTCGCGGTCGTTGGGATACCAGCTTCTCGACCTCCTGCAGGAAGAACAGGTTGATGTCGTAGATGATGCCCATGTGGCGGGGCAGGATCTTGTCGAGCATGGGGACCGGCCACTTCTCCATGGCCTCGGGCAGGATGGTGTGGTTGGTGAACGCAAACACGCGCTTGGTGATGTCCCAGGCGGCGTCCCACTCCAGGCCCTCCTCGTCGATGAGGATGCGCATCAGCTCGGGCACGCCCAGGGTCGGGTGGGTGTCGTTGAGCTGGATGGCGACAAGGTCGGGCATCTCGACCCAGGGCTTGCCGGTCTTCTTGAAGCGCGCAATAATGTCCTGCAGGGTGGCCGAGCAGAACAGGTACTCCTGGCGCAGACGCAGCTCCTTGCCCTCGTTGGTGTTGTCGTTGGGATACAGCACGTCGGTCAGAACCTGGGCGGCAACCTGGCCGCCGGTGGCACCGGCATAGTCGCCCGAGTTGAACTTGTTGAGGTCAAACAGGTGGTTGGTCTTGCAGCTCCACAGGCGGATGTTGCCGACGTTCTTGGTTCCGTAGCCCGGGACAGGCACATCAAATGCCATGGCGTCGTACACAACGTCGCTCTCCCACTTGAAGCGCCGCGGGTTGGTCGGGTCGTGCACCAGATGGCCGTAGAACTTGACCGGGTACGTGACGTCAGGACGCGGGAACTCCCAGGGGTTGGGGTGTCGAGCCAGCAGTCGGGCGCCTCGACCTGGTAGCCGTTGATGATCTGCTGCTGGAACATGCCGTACTTGTAGCGCAGCCCGTAGCCCCAGCCAGGGTAGTCCTTGCACGCCATCGAGTCGACGTAGCAGGCTGCCAGACGGCCGAGGCCGCCGTTGCCGAGAGCAGCATCGCGCTCCCTCGTCAATGATATCCTCGAGCTTGAAGGCCGACCTCGCCCAGCACCTTGGAGTACTCCTCGCGCAGGTTGACGCCAGAAGGGCGTTGTCAAAGGTACGGCCGATCAGGAACTCGAGCGACATGTCAGTAGATGCGCTTGGCATTGATGCGGTCGTGATACTACACAGATGTGACAGGTGGGACACGTTGCTTAGTGACCAGCGATGGCATTAGCGGCACCATTCTCTTTCGGCCAATTGCCGCTTTTGATGCAGCCGATTTTCTCTGGCTGTTGCCAGGGCGAGGGCTGGTGATGCACACACCGCCGCAAACGTCATCATTCTCCGTGCAGATGTGTGCGCAAATGCATTGTGCATAGCCACTTACCTCGTTGGTCAGGTTCCAGCGCTGCAGCAGACGGTCGCGGACGGCAAAGGCGCTGGCCAGGTAGGCGTGGGCCGAGTCGATGCTGGAGGGGGTGCGCAGAAAGGTGGCCGACAGGTGCATGATGACCGTGTTCTTGATGGTGACCAGATCGCGGGCAGCTCGTAGTGCGTGTAGTCACGGAACTCGGCATCGCCGTGGCTGGGGGTCTTGGGCTGGCCGGCCGAGCCCGCCAGCAGCTCCTTGAGGGCGGCGCCAGAGACGACGCGCTTCAGGGGAGTCGGCAGGGTCGCCACGGGCACATCAGACTGGACGCCTGGGGTGGTGGCCTTGGCAGTCGACAGAGGAATAGTAGTGCTAAAGTATCCGTTATCGAGCGTCATAATATGAAAAAGGCGGAGGGCGGTTAGCAGAATGAGCGTGTAATGAAAGAGTGAGAGGGAAGCGAGGGAAAGAAGGAGGCGCCAGCTGTTCATATGTGCAGTGTCGAAAGAGCCACAGCGTTCATGTACTCAGCTAGAAGGCGTGTGCTCCCCCCGCCCCGCTGCAGGATGTTGAATGCGATGCAAGAGAACAACCGGGATGGGAGGGCCTCATGACTGGAACGAAATCTGCACAACCGGCATCCGATGCTCCGTGACAGGGGAGAGCCCTCCTCGC